CGGGCCGGGAGAGTTCTAAACCTCTCCCGGTCCCGCTCCGCCGTCTCCTTCGCGAGCATAACTTGCTCGCAGAAGGAGACGGCAGAGTTCCACGCACTCTCGCTCCGCACGATAGCCGCAATCAGGCTATCGAGCGAGAGAACTCCCACTCCGATGGCCGCCACGAGGTCTCGCCTCTGCTCAACCCACGCCGGGCACTCTGCCAGCGTGTGGAGAGCCGTGTCCACGGTCTGGCCATCGCAGTGGTGGCACTCAGGCGTTGGCTCCTTGCGGATCAGACACAGGTGATCTCCGAAACATCCCTTCCCAGTGATCACCTGCGTCAATCGGTATGAGAGGGTCCCGTGACGCCTCTCGAGCCAATCCTCCATAACGGGTCTTACCGCCGCAATGACGGCGTGCCCAGCGCTCGGTTGCCCGAGTCGTTCCCTCCACTCCCCTATGATGACCTGGCGGAGTTGGGATTTCCGGTCATCGATTTCTCGAATCTCGGGGCATCGACCCAACTCCTGCGCCTCCTTGCGCCACTGATACAGTGCCGCAAGGGCTCTCGCCTCCAGGTCCCACGGTGGAGTTCCGGCCAGGAGACTCGCTGCCTCAAAGGAGATCGTGCGGTACCCCCTTATGATCCTGATGGCCAGCATTCGGTGCGGTCGTCGCAGTATCGCGACGTTGCTGGCCTTCAGGGCCCCCGCCCATACCGGGCACCCGTAAAGGGCCATGGACCGCACAACCCCCGAGTAGAGTCTCCTGCAGGAGTCATCGGGTCCCTTCATGTTGGGCAGCAGCCGCGCCAACGCACGCGCTGCCCCAACCAACTTAGGGACCAGACCTCGGAAATGATATCCGAAGTCCCATCGGCCATCGAGTACGAGCCCCAGATACCTGATCGAGGGCTCGATGCCGATGCGAGTGCCTCCTACCGTGAGGCTAGATCCCTCAGGCGGCTTCCTCCGAAGCCCGTGGAAGAACAGGGCCTCGGACTTGTGCAGAGCCACCTCGAGACCCAGCCGCCGGATACGCTCAACGACTTGGGCAACCCCGGCCGTGGCCCTCAGGGTTGCCTCGTGGTTAGAAAGGGGCCCTAGCTTTGCATAGACACTCACTCAAGACAATGCTTTTTAACTTTCTCGTACATGTTCTAACCAAACAGTTTTCATTTTTTTTTTTTTTGACATTTGCGTTCCAGTAATTGTCATGGTGTGTTTAAAAGTATGATTATTGTCTTATAGTTCTCGCAAATATTATTTAAAGACGCAATGGAAACATCGTAATAAAGAAGCGATATTTAAGTTCAGTTGTCGAAACAAACAGAAACAATAAGTTGGCACTTTGGCAATTTGGCATAATCTAGAGTTATTTAAATATTTTACTATGAAAATTGCAGTCTGTTTATCCGACTTACAGTTGATAGTCCGTATAAATTCAATACTTTATTACAGTATCAATCTAGATGGCTGGATCGAGTAGTTTACGGTGAGCATAGAGCAAGTGACTTATGAAAGAAAAATGGGACACTTTCATAAGTGATGTACCACTTTTTTAAATCCCAAGATTGTAATGAATGCTTGCCCCTGTAATCTGTCGACTCTGTCCCACAGAGACTTTCTGGGTGTGCAATAAAATCACTTTTAAATTTTGCAAAAAATATGTATCCAAAATTTTGCACCTAATAAAATATCTTTAACTCTTCTTTTTCGCTTTTCTTAATCTAATAGATAAATTTGAATTTTGTTATGGTATAGGTGGGCGAATAAGCAGATGGGTCTCCTGATGTTAAGTAACTATCACCACCCATAGACCCCTTCAACTTAAGAGTCACAGAGTGCGTAGCCGCAATTTGAGTACATACACGTCATCATCATCAGAATCATCTCCGGTAACGAAAAAATTGCTTAAGACCGGTTTTCTGTGCTGCCGCGGTATCATTCTGATCGAGCCGGTTGGAATTAAAAAAAACAGAAACCTTAATTTTACCTTTAAATTAAAGGTTACACGATCTTTCATTTGTATGCACATTATATACATATCACATCATCATCAACAGCCATTAATAGTCCACTGCTAGACATAGGCCTCTCCTTAGAAAGGAAGTTTTGGTCTACTGTACCACTCTGGCCAGAGGGGTTGGTATAAGGTTCGTGTCAAGTTTTCCGTCCCTTTGCAGAGCTCTTGTCCTGCGTAGTTTGCTCCTATAGTCGGCTCTCCGTATTATTAATCCGTCACCACACGGAAGAATATTGTTATTATTATATTCCTAATTCAAACTTTTAAGTCTGACATGAAGACTTTGTGACGACATAGCCTGTTAGCAGTGTTGGCACCCCTGCCTGACGCCAGAGAGTCTGGCGCCGCGTCTGGCCCCGTTTATCACTGTTTGACGACAGTTCTTATATTTACAGCAGTAACATTTTTGTCTCAATACTTACACATATTTTTTGTTAACTGAATTATATATTTCAATTTTATTTTTTACGACCTATTAATTCATCACCATGATCATCAACAGCTTTTCATAATCCACTGATGTACTTAGGAAAATAAATGATAAGCGCATACGCTATGGAAAAAACACTGTCCAACACCAACAAAGCTACAAACAATATAAAGCTAAACCATAAATTCATAAATCTACATTCAAATAGAATATCCCCCATCAACACATAACAACGACTTTGAAAACAACAATTTACAAATGGATTCAAATGATAGGAGGCTCGTTAAAGGGTGACTATCATCCGGAAGTTGATAGTATCGGTGGTAGCGGAAAGGGGCGGGGCTAACGACTGAAGATTGCACCCTAAGGGCCTTGAAGATTTGAGCTTTAACTTTGTTCTGAAATTACCACTTTACCTTATTTTAATATTGCTATTCTTAAAAATGCTTTCTCTAATATAAGGAAATTAATAAAAAAAGCGTATTATCCTGTCCCTATATATAAACAATGGTATAACTTACCTATTTCGGTCTTCTCAGAACAAAGCGAAATAAGTTATAATATTGTTTGTTGATGATTAATGCCAAAATACACTCTTGTGTGCGTTGACAACAATCATCACAACATGTCGCATTTATGTAATAATCAGCTTTAAGTAAACCCAACACTATCCATTTTAATCGAATGATAATAATTAGCAAAGCAAACAAGATCAGACGCCATTACGCTAATCTACAAGATGGTTGGTTTGAGATAAAAGTAATTTCCTTGTACGTTGTCGTGTCTTTTTACTGGAAGATTAAGATAAGGACCACAGGCAGTGCTATTAAACCAGCTGATATCTTTAGATAATTAAGTCTGATTGCAAGAAAACCACAACCTTTATCAATCTGAAGGGTAATGACCAAAGGGCACAATTTTTCAATCTGAGGTTTAGGAAAAACAATTTGCTGGTGTTTAGATTAGGAATACAATCACAATATGTGGTTTAAAAAAACTATTTTGTCAAAAAAACCCCATCATCCTTTGAGCCTTTTCCCAAATTAGGTTAGAGTCGGCTTTCAGTCTACTACGACATGGCTGAACTTTGATTTTTTCGGTGGAGTGACCGCCATCAGACCCTCACAACCCAAGTGCCAGGTGATTTCGAATTTCTGTAGATAGACTGTTGTCGGACTTTTTAGGGCTCCAACTACCCTTAACTATTATCACAGATGTTCGTAACGCAAACGGGACTGATAGCTTAATGTGTTCTCTACGGTATGGAGGGGTCTCAATGTGTTCAGAAAAGTCAACTATCCATTGACTGCTCTGGCTAGGTTTGCTTAACTTTGCAATGGGCTAATCGACTCGGTTACCACTTAGCCACAAGCCCCTTATTGTCAAGAAACCTGAACGAATTAAACTTGATTAAAAGTATTTACTTTTAATCAAGTTTAATTCGTTTCTACGAATTTCCAGTACAACGTAATTAACATAGCTATTACAATAAGAGAATATCACTTTTACTGAAATAGTACCATATCGTCACAGATATTCTTACTACATCTTACTAACTGTATATTCTAATTAATTCTCATATTTTTAACATATTTAATCCAATAGGCAATCTACTAAAAATGCACCCTTCCATACTTGCAACTTGCTGTACAAGCTGCAGTATTAATCATTTGTAAAGTCACAACTCAAAAAAAAATACATTGAACTCCAGTTAGTAATAAATATAAAAATCTCGGTTGCACAAAGAATTGATATGCTGAAACAAATTAGTTAGTTGGTACAATTAACCGGTGGCTATTAACCAAAGACAAATATGAAGGTAGCAGGGTTAATATCCTTTGAACATGCAAACCTAACGACCCTACTTGTTAACAAAGAAACTTGTGGAGCTTTTAGATTTGAAGCTAGTTTAGTACCTTGTATATATGTTTCAAATTTTAGAACATATGAAATTCTATTTCAAGGCTATACTCGTATAAATTTACATTCTATATTTTAACCCAAGGCACAGGCCACTTCTACCCGGTCTTTCTGGTAGGAAGTAATTGATTGTGGCCAAACGTAAAGAAGCTAAAACGATTGCGAGCTGGTAACAGAAGGATTTTGGATGTTTTACCGAAACCTATTCTCAGATTCTTCCTAATTTAGACGTAAAACGGCTGCATATGTAGTGTTAGTCAGTTCGATTAGGTGAAAGTGAGAGAGTTTCTACACGCACTAGAAATACCTAGGTCCCACTATGTTTTGTATAGCCATGGACTAAATGATAATACTTTCATCATAAAAATGCCTAGATAAAAACTACGAGCCCAAAACCGCATTATTGCAACAAAATTTGTTCAGAACAGATAAATTTGAATAATGTTACATTAGCTGTGTATAGTAAAAGTGAATCAGATTGGTACGATACGTTTGGAGACTATTTGGTTCTTGAATATTGACCTGAGATTTATTAATTTTTTCCTGTTTTGTTTGATGAACAGATATTGAAGTTTGGTTATTGTTTCAGAAGTACTATCATCCAAATGAGCTGGTCTGGTGCGTGACAGTTCGCGTCGTCACGATGCACCAATGTTCGCTTTTCATACTTACATTGGTGTGCGTCTCCGTCAAAGGTAATTGAAATATTCCATCCAACAAAAAATAATTATTTAAATCTGAAAAATAAATAAACTTTCCACCAAAAAACGAAAAGACTGTTCAGCTTTATGATATCATTATAATAATATGCATTTACCCACGCATTATATGATAATTGAACTGAATTCGAAAAAAACTAGTACCTTAGACTTCCCCAGAGTGTAAATAGTTAGATGGGGTTATTACCACTACTAATAAGTATTTCTAGGCATTGCTGTGGGTTAACATAAAAGCATTTCAGACTTATTTGTTGTATTAGTTATGTAAACTCATTGTCACTAAATTTATGACAGTCTTACAAAGATACGACATGATATTTTTACTGTTCATTTCAGATATATCCGGAAGTTGGGAAGAATGGTGGACGTACGATGGCATATCAGGTTAGTAGTTATTACATCTTATTATTTATCTGCTTAAATTTCTAACACAATTTCCTTAGGTTCTTTTACAATATTTAGTAATAAATTGGTATTCAATAACTACTGACGATTATTGAAATATCATGTACAAATACAAATAACTTTAATATTTTCTTTCACACAGTTTACAATCATATATAATATTGAATAGTACAGCGTGTGTAAAGCATTAGTTAATATTCTGTGTCCCACACATCCCCTGGAATCTGCACTAAGAGGAGACCTGTATTACAGATTACCAGCCTCTCCAAACTCTGGACAGCTGATGGCATAGTCGCAGTAAATATATAATAAGTGACTGCATAATTAAGAGGTGAGAGTTTAGCGTGCGTGTATGTGTGTGAGTGTGTGTGTGTGTGCGATTGTATGTGTGTGTGAGTGTGTGTGTGTGCGATTGTATGTGTATGTGTGTATGTGTGAGTGTGTGTGTGTGTTTGTGAGTGTGTGCATATGAGAGTGTTTGTGATTATGTATGTGCGTGTATGATTGTATGTATAAGCTCTTCATCGATTTTAGTACTAACACGGATACCCAAGAAATTATATTGGTACATTGAGTAGATTTTCAGTTTCTGCGTAATTAAGAGACTTCAGCCTCGAAGTGATAGTGATAGATTTTACACTTGTATGGGGGAAGTTGGTAAATAAATATTTTTTAAATTAATTTCTTGTACAAATATCCACCCAAAAAACCATAGAACTTCCTGGAGAAGACAGTGGACCACTGGACGTATGTATTTCGACCAAAGTTGTGTTTCAATCTTTTATGATTACACGAAGGCTCGTATGTCAGTGTAGAATGCTGTTTGACAAATGTTGTACAAATAACTATTCATTAAAGTGAATGAAAAAAGAAGAATACAGGCAATGCCCATGTTTAGTTTTCTATGTCCCATGGAGTGGCTCTCACAAGTTATTCACACTGAGTCTTAAAAAAATGAAATGTGTTATAGTACTTATAATCCATCTATATTATGTGAATCAGATACACAGACACTTTACTAGAATTAAATTTTAGTTATCTATTAATATATTTGGTGGTTATTTTAAACCCAATGCTGACCATAATTCGACATAGTTCGGACACATATCTAATCAAACAATTTAGTGACATTTATCGAAATAAATCGAAACCTAAATAGTAATTTTCAATAGAAGGCCCACTCACACCGGTGTGTATTGTGTTCTTTATAAATAGTGTTTTAGAGCAGAATATATTTCGTTGCAATTGTCACAGTGAACTGGTAATAGTAGCTTCTCTTAGCCTTTTTTTAAGCGCTTTCAAAAAAAGAGGAGGTTCTCAATTCGTAGGTTTCTTTTTTTATCTTCAGAAAGCAACATAAAAGGTATATTTTTGTACTCGTACAGTCACATGACTTTACTATGAGCGTAATTTGAATTACAAAATATTACTTGTCTAGTGTTGTTACTTGTAAATCTTATCAGAATCATGATTCTGATAAGATTTACAATACCATTACATTACAGCAGCAGCACAATTTAAGTTTCTTAAACATTTTAATTCCACTGATTCATATTTTTTTACATTGTTAGGAGTTAGGAGAATAAATGTTACATTATTTTCGAAGGGTATCTGTATGCTACAACTACTTATCTGATGCATAAAAACTTATAAAACAGAGACGTTTCTAATACTTAAAACCTGATCTATATTTGTAGTTTGCAAATTACCGAAAAGTATGTTTAGACTGTTTTGAAGTTATTGATGTACACATTTTAATATAATACTACCAATTTGGTGCAATGTAGATACTACTAATATGGTGCCAGCCATAGCCAGCGTCGAGTAATTCATCAACAAGCTTTAATAGTCCACTGCTGGACATAAGCCTCTTAGAAAGGAGGTTTTGGCCTACTATACCACGCTGGCCAGACAGGTTGGTTGTTTAAGTTTTCCTTCTCTCTGCTGTGCTGTTGTTCTGCCTAGTTTTTCCCTTAGTCGGCTCTTACGACACCCACGGGATGAATAGAGATGGTGACACTCTGTATTCTTAATCCGTCACCACACAGAGTAAGTAAGAGAGAGTAATTAATTAACTTTTAAAGATATACAATTCTGCAGTACATTTTTCTGATCTATCTCGTTAGTGTGTTTTACGACATCACAATACAAATCTTTGAACTTATCGAATTTCCTATACTGTAATATGCATGTATATCACATAAAACACTTCAACTGCATTAAAATCCGTTACGTAGTTTAAAAGACCTAGGCGTCCAAGAACTAAAAGGGACTTCATTTTATACTCTGTAAAGATTGGTCACGTTTACTTCTTTTTGACAGTGACTGCACATAGCACAAAATTGAATAAAAAGGGAGTGCGAACCATTGTTTTCAGAAGAAAATAGCCAGAAAACCTTCTAAAGAGAACCTTCGAAAGAGGTTCTAGTTTTCTTTTGGTGTCTTAATAGAAACATGGTATTTACTTTTTAGGATTTCACTCTTAGCTACACTGAAATCACACGACACACCACATCGCTTTCACGAACCTCAAACATTATACATAATCCTGAGGGCATTGCCAACTATAAGCCTCATTACCGTTATCGTCTCACCATTTGAATTCATCCCTGTATGAAGATCATAAATATAACAGGTGGAATCACAACAGTCTCAATGGCCAACGGGCACTGAATATCGGGGGCACGCTAACATATCCGTATAATGGGCGCGGTAATGATCACAGATAACATCTTAATGGTAAAATGCGCTCAACTGTGTCATTATATCGGATAGTGCTCGACGGACCCGAAATTTCAACGTATTATCTATTTCGATGACATTTGGAGATTTCTTTTTGTATTGTCAAGTTGTTAGGATTGGACCAGTGAATTAGTTTTCATAATATTTTTATTATTGACGCTAATGCTTACATGCAGCCCTTAAGCCTGTAGATTAAAGAGTATATATATATAATAAAACATCGTAGAAATTATTTTATCATCATCATCATCAGCAGCCTTTAACAGTCCACTGTTGGACATAGGCCTCTGATTAGCAAGGAGGTTTTGATCTGCTATACCACGCTGGCCAGACGGGGCCATAGGGATTGTTTCAAGTTTTCCTTCTCTTTGCAGTGTTGTTGCCTTCATAGTTTGCTCCCTTAGTCAGCTCTTGCGACACCTACGGTTTGAATAGGGGTGGTGACACTCGGTATTTTTTATATTTTTTCTAGAGGGTATCTAGAGGGTATCGGTGAAATGTATCGAAAGAAGTGGTATCACTGCGGTCGGGTCCAAAGAGTAAAAATGTTTATTGTTTCTAATTACTGTAGTAATTATCTCCCGATTTGTTCGTAGGAACGAATGAAGAGCTACACGCTGGTATTAAAATGATTTATCTAAAACTATTAGACCAACACTTACATGTTTTAACATGTAGAATATTTATATTTCTTGTATTTATTAGTTAAATACAGATTTGATAAATAGTGTACGAATGTATAAGTCATTTTCTTTCGTAACTAAATTTATAAAGTCATGAATATCACTGATATTCCAAATAAGATAATAACCCCGCTACAGCCCTACCTCACACAATCTCTTAGATGGATCTATCGACAACCACATAAAATCGAAAATACTTGTGAACCGTAAAAATATCTAGTATAAACGATAATGTTCAACATTGGAGCGGTAATGACGTACCGATACAGTCTAATGCCAGGCCACCCTACCCACCCTACTATAGTAGCATTACGCACGTTTCAATACACTATGATGACCAAATTTTGCGGTATCCCGAATCCCTATTCAATGTTATATCATGGTACATTACAGGCTTGAATAGGCTTTTCCATTTGAGCAACGTTTTAACTCCCAATTTAGGTTTCATCATCGTTTAAAACTAATTCTATATTTCGATTTTGAGTGTAGGAATTTACCGATATTATAGTCAAAGCTCTATGAAGAGTAAGTGTTAATAAATTATTATTGGTTGCTATGTATGAATACCGACATGATTTGAATAGCAAAATTTATGGCAGTTTTATTAAACCTCGGGATTGTAATTTCTATTTTCTTACGGAAAAAATAACGAAGCGCGATACCATTCATTCCATAGGTTGTAGCCGCTTTTCTTGTCAGGCGGACTACTCACCGGCCAACCCAGTGGAGAGATTCACGAGATTACCTCAGGGCGCCTTGTAAGAGAACAGAAGTGTGTGCGTGTGGGAAACCTACGGGACTCCTTAGAGGAAAACAACTTACACCTCAGTCATACATACATGTATATTTCAATAAAAATTAAAGTTACAATAGTTAAAAAAATAAATTAATTAGTGGGTATAAAAAAAACCGCAGCGGCGCGCGTCAGAGCCGAGCTGATGCTGCTCGGAGTCTCCTCGTCTTCACTCAAGGAGGTCACTTCCCCTTCCGCCTGAGTCGGCTATTTATATTAGGTATTAAGGAAAGTTCACTATTGATATTAATAAAGTTAACGAGAAGTACGTAACCCTTGAGTACGGCTGTCCGCTTGCTTTATGAGCCGCGTGACTGCCAGTTTGCCAGAGGGTACCGAGAAACTTGAATTCGCACCAGAAGGCCACTAATGAACAAGCACGCCGTCTGAGACTGACCGTCTTGACCCGAAATCTGGGACCCTACGAATGGATTAGCACTCATATTATCGATCAGGTTCCAACAAATAGGTACAAGAAAAATTAAGAATATACTCACCACTTTCGTGGGTACTTTGAACAGATAAAATATTACGAAAATAAAATCACCAGACAAACAAAACACTATTTAAGATTGGAAGAGAAGAGTTAGCAGAGTGTCCCCCGTGGCTGAAAGCCGGACTTATATATGTTCGGTTCGTGAAGTTTCCAGAAAGAAATCCCTACTTCAATATTTTAAACTGTCACTCAAATTATTATCTAGGTTAACACGAACTAAATCAAAAGTAACTCGCTTCCTACCATAACGGGTCACTTATAACACCAATACAATCTATCAGGATAAATTCTTACTGACTTACCAATAAAACAAACGCCATCTAGTGGTCCGATGGCGGACGAAGAACATCAATACTACAGTTACAAACTACATTGAATAAATAAAAAAAAATTGCGACGCGGGCAATAGGTGACGCTATTGACAACTCCGTACGCAATACAGATATACTAAAAAAATAACTGTTGCAAGGTTTTGTGAGTTCTGTGAACCTAACTATTAAAAAGTCATAAAGTTAACCGTTTATAACATAAAATATTTTCACATGCTTCGAATAGAATTCGTATTTCCATTCATTTGTACTACCGTTCTATATACATTTTACGCGGTCAATTAGAAATGATTTCAGGTTTTTTTTAAAATTGTTTGTTAACTCTGAACTCCGATTTAGCCCCTTTAAAATTTAAAGAAAAATGACTAACCCTAAGATTGGAAAATTAAGGTATTAAGAATACAGTTTATAACAACTGATCATGATGGTTTAGTTTCACCCCTATTCATCTCGTGGGTGTCGTAAGAGCCGACTAAGGGAGAAAACTACGCATTACAACAGCACTGCAGAGAGAAGGAAAACTTGACACAAACCCTATAAAAACCCGTCTGGCCAGCGTGGTACAGTAGGCCAAAACCTCCTTTTTAAGGAGAGGGTTACGTTCAGCAGTGAAAAGCTGTTGATGTGATGAAAATCGAGTTATTACCCGTACAAACTTATACAAGGAAGAATCTTTTGAAAACAGACTATTTCAAAATATGTATATAGGACACATTCGTTATTTTTTAACAGCCATGTAACCTAAAGTATTCATTGCAAAGAAGGGTCCAGTCGTAAAACTGATTTTATAGTTTTATTTGGTCTCGTAACTTTGTTGCCTTTGAATTACTTTTGGAAAAGGTACATATAAATAAAAATTACCTTTAGTAAGCAGATGTTTACGAAGAAGTTAATTGAAATGTCTGGCGATAAACGAAGATAAGTTAAGTTGTAAAATATAAGAATTAAATACTACCTTACTAGTTAGAATTAGAGTCAAACCGATAATACAAAAATGTAGGATATACAAATACTAAATATAAAATATCTATCAGTTACTTTTCCGTCGATAAATGTCAACAAAATAAAAATACTTATGAGTAACTCCATTGGTGATCTAATCGTGACCTAAAATGTCAAGTTCACTGAACACATGTTTAAAACAAAATGTTGACTTCGGGTGGACTATGACTTTGTATGGATATAATGCTCTTGGCGAGAACATAAACTGTTTATGAAAAGAACCAGTAGCAAACCAAAAGCGTGGTCCTTGAATGGATTAAGATTTTGAAAGTTGATCATGCTCTTGGAAGAAACCCTGAGCGAGAACCAAAACTACACGTGTACAGTTTTAAATATATTGCGTTATTGAACCGTATGCTTACGACCCTTGGCTCAGCTCGCTCAGTCAGGGTGATACTACGGCCTCACGGAAAATCGCTGTCCAGCAATTAATAATAATTTTCTACGACATACACAGCACACCATCTAGTCCCAAACTAAGCAGAGCTTGTACTATGGCTACTAGACAACTGATATAAATATATATAAATATTTTTTTGTAAATACATATATATTTTACATAGAAACACCCAGAGCAAATCAAACATTAAATGTTCATGCATACAAATGTTTACTTTGGGAATCGAACCCGCGACCTTTGGAATAGCAGTCCGTTGCGCCAACCTGTCGTGAGTCACTGGTCTTAGTACCTATTCTTTCTCTGGTCTTAACCAAATTTATAAGGTTACTGAAGCTCCAAAACCCTCTTCTCCTAAATATACTTAAAGAACGGCAACGTACTTGTTACTCTTGTATCGCAAATGTCTATGAGTGGCGGTAATCACTTGCCATCAGGGGACCTGTCTGCTCATTTGTCTGTAAAAAAAAACAAAGATATCATTGTCTATACTGGATTAAAGTACACTATAACAACTAATTGCCGTAATTTATATAATATATTTTATGTTATTTTTATTTCTACACTTCCTGCATTACAACTTGCACGAGGTGGACTTAATGCCACATGGCATTATCTACCAGTCAACCTTTAGATGGTTCAGTAAGGGGCATGAACAAGAGAAGAATTGTGTATTGGACACAAGAGTAAAAGATTATTAGTGATCATTATGATCTCTGTCATGGTTGGAGCATAGTGGTTTAAGCTGTGAAGTAAGATAAGTAGAAGCTGTAGGATTATTAAGAAGAGAATAAACGGTAGTCAAGGCCCGCAAGCTACGGCGCTGACGTATAGGTAACCATGACAGCTTGGATCGATAGGCAGACACATGGTCATACTTGCGGAGGTTAAAGATATAATAATACAGCACGGAAAATTCAGTAAACCTAAAAGCGATAGCGCATAAGTTATTCCTGGAAGTATTTACAATGGATACAACTAAATGATTATAGCAATCAAACAAAAATAAAAAAAATATATGGATCGAGTCATTAAGATCATATCGCGATCATAACATTCACTTGCCATCACGTTTATGACACTTCCATGCGTAATTAGGGTATCGATTCTATTTAATATGGAGGTACATGATAATTATCAGTAAAATAAAGCATATTTTAGTGGTATTCCATATGCCTCTGCCTAAAATTTGATAGAGTTTTTGCATTAGGCTTTCTATTGTCTCTCTTATAATATGGCTCCTCCTCGTTACAATTAATCTCTTATACGTAAGGACCATCTAAAAAAGTAACTGCTTACTGTCAAGTCGGTTATGTGTTACTGCGGCATATTGTTTATATCCTGAACATTACGAATAATTAGTTTAACCTACTTACTGACTACATTAAGAAGAAACATTATTTCATTTTCCACTGCACGGTTTTTTATTTCTTGATTTGACAAAGGTAAAAAATAACTACGCAATCGTATAGGAATACACTATCACCTATTAATACCCATAAAAAAATAAATTTCACCTACCGAACTTATTATAAGCGCCATCATACACAGTTAATTCCTTTTAACTGTATGCCAAGCCTTTAGAGTTTAATTTACTATATGATTTATTAAATAAAAACATTTACTAAATGCAGAAAATTTATCCGTGTCGTGACGGATTAAGAATAGTGTCTGACCAGGGCGGTATAGTAGGCCAAAACCTCCTTTCTAAGGAGAGGCTTATGTCCAACCAGTGGAATGAACCTCCCCTGAAATACGAGTAGACACAATCCTCTCTATATTTAAGCTTCAAAAGACTTTATAACAATTTTAAATAACTGTCGGCCAAGTTATAGCATCGTTAATGTTAAAAATAATTGCTGTTCTTACTCGTATTCAGTTAACAACAGTTCTTATTCAGTTACTACGAATAATAATTTCTTTAGAACAGTAACCGTCTTTAGTTGTTTCTTTGATTTCGGTTCCACCACGCACACCTTCCCTTTGAGTTTGATGTCCCCTCCCCCAAAATCAGAGAGGGGGGGTTGGATTCCAGTAACCTCACCCATACGATGAAAAGCAACGAAGAATTGCTTAATACCAAGTTTATATAAAACCGTTGTCTGACAATAGTCGAGCGACCCCATTTGTGCCGTAGCACAGCTCTCCCACGGCTAGGCATGCCTAAACTACTGCCTGCGCCGCAATCAACGAGCTCTGACTTCTTTCTTTTCATTTCTTATCTCCCCATCCTCACCTACTTACCTTGCTCCCTACCTTCGTTTCTTGTTGTTTTATCACGACAGGAATCTTCGATCTGCAAATAATTTGCTTCTCTTATGCCGATTCTCTCTCTCCCCACAATTTCGACTTCGTGAGCTCTTCGTTCTTCGTTGAAGCAGTTCTACTCTGGAATGCGCTCCCGGTTGAATTCAGGATATCCACAAACCGTTCCGTATTTAAAAAGAAGGTACACAACCTTCTTCTTAATGAGACGGCAGAATCATCGAATCGATAGCGCAGCAACCAATTTTTATACACTCATGGTTTACGAATATATATATTATATAATATCGGAAACGGCTGTGACGGTTTTCATGAAATTTAGTAGATAATTATATATATGTGTGTGTGTGTGTATTGTACATAAATATATATATGTGTAGTTTATGTTTGTGTATGTATATATATATATGTATATGTGTGTCTATGTATATATATATGTGTATAGTATGTATTTCTTTGTATATAAAATTTGTGTTGTGTTGTTTAGTATATATTTTACTTATATATTTACCTAGTACTATAACAATTAGATGGACACCTATTATATATATGGAAGTGTAAATAGCTTACTATTATTTACTATATAAAATACACTGTCACTATTACAGTTCAGCGTTAAAGTTATAAATAAATAAATAAATAAACTATGTTTCACAGAACTCGAGACAATAGGTTATCTCATTACACCGACGGTATAGTAAAACACAGTCTAAAACGTTTGGCATCGGTCCACAAATGGACAGACTTATAATGATCGAAATGTTTTTACAGGTCCAATATTTTAAAAAGTCTTGAAATGTACCCTCGTATAAAATATTAACTTTTGTTAGTGACTTAAGAATTTAGGTAATAAATTGGATTAATTAATTTATCCTGCCCATTTTACGTATTTTAACAAACTAAATCTTTGTTTATACAGGTCCTGGTTTCTGGGGTCTTATAAACCCCCAATGGAGCATGTGCAACAAAGGACGTCGTCAAAGTCCCGTCAACATCGAGCCTGATAAATTATTATTTGACCCCTGGCTGAGGGATATACAATTCGATAAACATAAGGTAAGATACTTGTAAATGTTTTTTTTTTGATGTCTCGAATTTAACATCAAAAGAAGTGCATAGTTTCGATGATGAATGCCCACAGATAATCGGCCCAAATGATCTAAGAACTTTTATTATTATCTAGTTTATTTAAGTCATTACAAGAAGCACATCTTATTGAATTCGTTTAAAGACGGATTTAAAAGACTTACTATATTATTACTAAGGACAATAGGGAATATGCATGTATTTTTTTTATTTTTTTAATGATTCTACTAGTTATTACATTACCAAAAATAAATATAACACATCCGAAATATAAACCGTTAAGCAAAAATTTTTTTATTAAAATCACTTTCATTTTGGGACAATTTGAACACGTCCATTTTGGCGCGCTTTTTTGTGACGTCAGATTACACTTTCAGACGAATTCGATGTCAACAACGGAGTGAAGTTCACAAAGTTTCTGAAAGTTAAAAAAGTGAGTGATGAAAATTAACTTATTACCATGGAAAAGCCAATAAAAACTTATTATAAATATTGTGCCGTTCCTTTGTGCCCAAATAATATCAAAACTGCACCTGAGCGTATTTTAGGTTATATTTATGTTATACGACAATTAACAAAACCATGAAAACCACCATATTTAATAAAATTTATATAACTTGTTTACCTCGCAGCTTTTACTCCTCTGAGTTCAGCAGACGTAAAATCTGAATTAGATGCGAAATAGGTGCTCATCATAAACACGTCTATTTTAGGAAGATTATCTGATTGTGCTTTGACAAAACCGGTTTCAGTCATTGTGTTGAGTCTTTCTACACGGGAATTTAATAATTTAACACTGAAAACGTATTAGTTATTAACTTAAAATGAAACATAAAATCACCAGAAACCAAATATTACACAACTTGTTGTCACTCTTGACAGTGTAGGTTGACGTCACGTTTTATTCAACCAATAGCGTTGCGTTTTAGAAATTTCCAAGCGGATTCTTAAAAAAGCCAATTTTTGATGATTAAATTTCACTATTAAATTATAATAATTTTCTTATCTATATCTTTATCGGTATCTTTTTTTAGCGATAAAATTTACAAATAAAAATATTTTGTCCATTTTGGTGTCACGTGCATATTCCCTATTGCTGAGGCTACAGTCATTGTGCCTCTAAACAGTCACAATCAACCGAGCAATGCAATTTGAAAATAACGGAACAGATCAAAAAATATCCAAAAACATAAAAACCCCTATTTTCTTTATAAGTTTTAGTTACTTGCTTAGTAACTAAAACTTGGCGGTACTAATGTAAATTCTGTACTGTGTGATAAAGCCTTTACAAATTAACGTCGTAACATGGCCTGCAGCATGTTCCTTAATCCTATGCTAAACACAGTAAGGTAGCGATATAACAACATTACTTTTTACACAGCTTTGTAAGATAAAATTACAGTGATTACTTTGGAATCAAAGCAGAAAAGGTTTAAAATTTTGTTTTATTTTTATTCTGCATCTAATTTAAATAACAGTTAAGAAGAATTTAAGTAAATTGAGTAGTTTTAAATGCAAAAGAAAGAGCTTTTCTATAGATTTAAAGTTTATTGGTAACGGATATATTATTTCCCAGCTTTTGTCAGTTGCTTCGCTTGCGTATCCATAATTTTGTCATCATTCATTTTTTGTCAGCATAATTCAGAAATCCCACAGAAATATATGGAACTACTTCCTGGACAAATGTATCCTATGTCTTTTTCTATACCTCTGATATAATATATGCAACATGTGAGCAAAATCTTTCTGTAAAAGGTTTTGCACCAATCAAAATGCCCTCATACATAACTGGGTCTCTCATACAAGACTGGATTGTCGGATTGTCGGTGCAATGTCGGATCTTATTAATGTGCTTTAATATCATCATTCCAATAAGAATATACTTTCAATTAATAAACAAACATCTTTATATTTTTAAGTTTTTTATACAATTATAGTAATTTCTGTCTTTGTGTGATTACAAAGTCCTGTCTATTCTTCGCTAGATTTTTTTTCTCATGTGAAATCTCGTTTCGGCTTGTCACCTCACCGGGCGCTGACGGTGAAGATGTATATTGGACTTGAACCCACTAAGATCGATCGTTGTTCCGCCACATATGAGTCTAAGCAAACCTTGTCCGTCTAGGCAGCTGCACCAATGCGCACAGAGGGCATTACAGTACTCCCCACTAAATCGCTTCTAAACCAACAGCCTCGCCCGTTATCCCAAATCCGACACTAATGGACGACAGAGATCATTCTGAGCTCTAAGGTGCCTGCCTATGTCTTTTGAAATCCTAAGCATTCTCACTTTGGTACCTGGTCAGAGCCATGAGCTCTTCGCTGAACTGTAATAGTAATGTTGACAGTGTATTTTATATAGTAAATAATAGCAAGCTATTTACACTTCCATAATCAGCACAAGTAATTGGTTTAACAGAAATTTACATATAATAGGTGTCCATCTAATTGCTACATGTTATATGCATTAAAATTTATGAAACTGTGTTGACTAACCAATATTTAAGTTAAAATGTTTACATTACAGTTTATTCGAAATGATATTATGAAAGAAAAATAATACATAGATAATTGTATAATATTGACATAACCAAAACATGGTCCTAAATTTTCAAAAATGTGTGTTTTTTACTTCCTTTAAAAAAGCTATGGTAGCTCATACAAGTACACATATGGGACCATGAACTGCTCGATTCGATGCTCATTCCTTCTACTTTCTCTTCTTATCTTCCTTTTCCTGTCAATAAACTTCCACTGTCTTCCCTACTTACCGATATTTTCCTTTGAATATACTCCTAAGCATACCATTTTTCAATTTTCTCGGTGCTTGGTTGACAGTATAAATTACGTTTGAGAGATCCGATTATAGTAATCAAAATGAGCGTATTTATTACTCCTTTGTATTTATAGTATAACGGACATAAGTGTTTTTTCTATGCATATAATTTTTAACAATGAATAAACTCCAAACGAAGTTTCATCGTTGTATTTTCTCGCCATTACCATTTGGTTTGAATTTAATTAAAGCGACTTAAAGGTTTTTAAATAAATCAGGCAACTTTTTATATCAATACTTCAAGTAGTATGGTACATATATCGCGTAGGTAATAAATATTGTAAGCCTCTCGTGCGGAATTATTCATTAAGAGTGAATTACAAGGTTGGCCAATGTGATGCTAATGTATGCGGAGCGCGATAGCCTATCGTGTACTATCGGAGTGCTTTTTGCAACACACGCTGTATATACTGAGTATACTTATTTCAAGCTTACAGCGCTTCTAAGTAGTGAAGTAACATTTCCAGCTAACTTTTAAACTTTGGCGTTCCATGTATGTATGTAAACGGGAATAAAAGCGATCCCATAATACTGATACTGGCCGTGGTAAATTACCACATGATCAAGCCAGTGTTACCTGGTCAAAACATCAGGTAATTCAATATCTATTGCGTAATCGCATAGATTCTCGTATAGTCGTAAATGCATAGTTACAAAATATACCAAACTATTTTAAGTTCTATGTGTACCTAAGTTGTTTTAAAGTACCTATTACAGAATGCCAAAGGAACACATAAAACAATTTAGATTGCAGGAAAATTTGAGTCACATTTCATATATTTATTTTATACTACTAAATTTAAAACAATGTTAAAAATTTTGTTATTACTATTATGAAAGTTTAAGCGTTCGGATATTTAATAATCATTTTTTTATATGTGTCCGATTATGGCCTCCCTACTCCTTACATATAAATATAGCTGGTGCATGTTTATTAATACCTATATCTAACAAAGTATAAATGTAAACATCTACCCACTCCTATATCCTATAAAAGGAATGAGCAGTGGTGTATTAAATGCACACTTTTAAATAACTAAATAACCATCTTATAAAACATAGAATGCTGCATCTTATAAAACAATGAAATTTTTTCTAAAATATTACGGCAACTAATAGCCAAGAATATAAAAAAGAAATATATCGTAAAAGAAACTTTAAAAGCTTTACGAATTTATAATGATATGTCAAGGCCTACGCAGTTTTGAATACTTTCAAGTTAAATATTATAAAAGTTAGCAAAGTATACTTACTTACGTTATGAGATTTGAATAATTTCGCACTTTTATGTTTCTAGAAACCATCAATCTTGATCATTTTAATATCATCACATTATTAAATTACTTTCAGTTCAAGGTCGAAGTTGAAATGCCAATATTATTATATCTCTATGTTATTGACGATTCTGAGAATCACAACCCATTAAAAAAAAAAACAGAACATAATTTCTGGTGAACCTACTCTGACATTTCCCCACCACCCAAAGGTTGACTGGGAGAGAATGCCTGTGGCATTAAGTACGCTATTGTACAATTGAGTTGTAATTTGAGCATAAAGAAGTAAAATAAAATGCACCTTTCAATAGTTATCTATACTAATATTATAAAGCTGAAGAGTTTGTTTGTTTGTTTGTTTGTTTGAACGCGCTAATCTCAGGAACTACTGGTTCGATTTGAAAAATTCTTTCAGTGTTAGATAGCCCATTTATCGAGGAAGGTTATAGGCTATATATCATCACGCTAAGACCAATAGGAGCGGAGCACCAATGAAGAATGTTTCAAAAACGGAGAAAACTTATTACTATTGAGAGACGCAGACGAAGTTGCGCGGGTCAGCTAGTAAAATATATTGATTCAGGATAACTGTAACGTAAATGCAATCTCATATAATTTTCTCTTTACTATTATCCTAAACAAAAAAAATATGTTTATTTTTTGTTATGCTAAACGCCTTAACTGCTACACTGGCCATTATAAAATGAATAGGCAGACAAACTTGTCAGGGGACAGGACATACCTTGGATCCCGAAAACAAAATACTGTTCCCGTGGAATACCAGAATCCTAGTAAATACGAGCAAAATCGCTAGCAAGAACAAGTGATTTATTAATATAATAATAATAACATTCTACCACATTCACACAACGCCATCTAGTTCCAAACTAAGCAGAGTTTGTACTTTGGGTACTAGACAACTGATATAAATACAAATGTAAATACTTTTTTTGTAAATACATACATACATATTTTACATAGAAACAACCAGACCAAATCAAACATTAAAAGTTCATGCACACAAATGTTTGACTTGAGCGGGAACCGAACCCACGACCTTTAGAATAGCAGTCCGTTACACAAACCACTGCGCCATCTGGTCGTCCATCCATTAAGTAAGAAATACACACATAATATCTATTAGAAGTGATGTTATTTTATAATTGTTTTTATTTCTTTATATTACTAGACACTATCGTAAACTAGCTTTAAAACAAATTGAAAGTTGTCATTACGCCATTATTGTCCACATAATCTTTTCATGGTTTTAGTTTAAATTAAGAGTAAAATAATTTTACCCAGCAATGAAAAAGATAACAGATCCATGTGTTTAAATTTCCATCATACATAGTAAAAAACAATTATACACACATCATCATCTGTACATGTCACCACATCTGTAACTAGATAAAACAGTGCTATCAGAGCTCGTTATCCCTCTTAAGCCCAATCGGTTATAACCACATGTATTCGGGTCATAATAGTTGTTTATACTTAAGTCTTGTATATGGACTTTTCTATTATATATCCTTTTAAAAAAAAGTCAAACCAAATTCAAAAAATACTAACAACAATGAGCACTAAAAAACTAGCAGCAATCGCTGTTGATTTGCTGTTATTTTGTGAAGAGTTCCGTTGTCTGTCTCCGAAACTCATCATCAGATCTATATGAAGGTCCATTTCGAAATAAACTCCTTTCGAACAAGAAAAGAAGTTGGGAAATCCGTCTATATATGTCTCGGAGTTATGCCATATGTTATGAGAACATACATAAAAAAAACATCCGATTTGATAATCCCCTTCTTTTAGAAGTCGGTTAGTAAAACGAAATATTTTTCATTGAGATGTTTTAAAACATGATTTTTTCGCTAACCGTCAAATGCGGTAGAAAATAATGCAAACATGTATGATATTTTAATTAATAAAACTCACAAAGTAACTGTAATGATGAAATCGAATAATAAACCATTTATTAATGTAAGTTTCAGAAACAACTAAAACTAAAATCTTCAAAATGTACATTTAAAATTACTAATAATCTTTTGATGAATCAAAAAATCAAAATTAAACAGCAATTTCTATCAAATTTTACAATCTTTTTACTTGATTTTAAAGTCATTTATTATAGTAAAATGTTTGACGCTCTTACATAAACAGGACAGGTTGGCTACAAGGCCAGTCACTCCCTATAAAAGAAACATGGATATAAAATAAATAAAATGGACTTCGAATAGAGCCCTGCTCTTGGTTCGCTTAAATTCTGAAACATATAAATAAAAAGTTTGGGTCGTACAGATAATCGGCGCATAATACGAGTATTTAAATAAATAGTGAATGTTTGTTTTACGGAATTAAGTACAAATTGGCTTAAAGTAATGTAGGTAGTAATCCATATTCAAAATCGCTTAATTTATTTAAAATAAGGAATGCATTAGTTTTTAAGATAAAATATAGTAAATTTAATTTAAAAATAATTTATTTAGCGTCTTTTTTTTTTCGTGCTGCGGGTTTTTTAATTTTTTGATAATGCTAATCAAACTCTGGAAGGACTTGAAAAGGAATAGTGTCATAGTGTAAATACATATTTATTTTATAACGTTTAAATATTTTATAGTACCTAATGATCTTAATTTTACTTTGATTTATTTCACCACTGCTTCACTAACGTAAGAATAGAATTAAATATATTAGAAAACTAACACAACATTATGGATCGATAAGTTGCTTTTAGTTTTTAAATTGACTCTTAGATAAAGTGGAATAAAATAATCCATAATCATGAAGTAAACTGATAACCCTCACAGCGAAGAGTTTTTATTTTGATCTGACTGCGCTAGTCATATCAATTTTTCAACTGAAGGTTCTTCCATTTTACATAGAATGTCTATCAATGGCAATCGCGTGTCAACAAGCAATATATCATCTCCACTCAAAGCGCATAAGTTGCCAGGCTTTAATCAAGGTGTGACCCATTGATTGATAGGACGACCCCCCATAGGGCACGGTGTGATTCATTCGATACCGCACGCTTTGGTGTTAATTATTTTTATGCGTGTATATAACAGTTATAGTTAGCTGTCGTACTGCAACAATAAAAAACATAGCAGTTGATCTAGAAAATATTTTGTACCTAAATATCTGAAGAACAAAAGGTGTGATATCATCATTAGGTTGATTAAATTCTGTTTAGGTTATTACGCTATTAAACATTTTGCAGTATGACGCTTTGTGACTTTAGCGATCGCAATTCTTGAGGTCATCATAATATACTGTAATTTAACGTACTTGTTTATCAGTACTGTAAGTGTACTGTATATACTTCCAAATTGATATATCATCACATCATCATCATCAACAGCCTTTAATAGTCCACTGTTGGACATAGACCTCTCCTTAGAAAGGAGGTTTTGGCATAGTATACCACGCTGGCCAGACGGGTTGGTATAGGGTTCGTGTCAAGTTTTCCGTCCCTTTGCAGAGTTGTTGTCCTGCGTAGTTTGCTCTCTTGGTCGGCTCTAACGATACCCAGGGGATTAATAGGGGTGGTATCAACTCGTTTACCCCTGTACCATACGAAAACCGCCGGCCTCTTTTCCCTTTCAATTTTCGTCAATGAAGAGCGGTCAATCGGAGTACTGCTGACCGTTCTTCTTCGGTTCCGTTTGATTACGATTACATTTTCAAGCAGTGGACCATTTAAGAAATCATCTGTATCTCTCTACAATTTAAAGAACCTTAAACAAAATTGGGAGAAGGTCAGGTAGATTATTATATACACTTTGAAGTATAAATACTGACAGCTTATATTACTTTGGCTTTTAACTAACTACACATTACACTACGTCACTAAATTTTACGATCGATATTGAAACAATGGAAATTACTACTTGACGTTTACTACTCGTATTAGTATATTTCTGATAAGATTTTATTTTCATTTCTAAATTTAAAGAAGATTTGTTATTTCATATTACCGTCCTAGTTCTGTATTTTTATCATTTCGTTACCAATCAGCATTCAATTAAGTATTTGTTTCCTATTTTTCTTATCGCAGGTTTCGGGTATCCTTCAGAACACGGGGCAGTCTTTAGTCTTCCGGGTAGAGAAGGACTCCAAACATCAGGTGAACATAAGTGGTGGTCCACTGTCTTACCGGTACCAGTTCGAAGAAATCTACTTCCACTATGGCATGGAAGACAATAGGGGGTCGGAACATCAGATCGATAAACATACGTTTCCTGGAGAGGTGAGCGGCGTATTACATTACAATTTGTAGCGTGTATAATATATAATAATAAGATTCTTATGAATTTGGTTTCATCTAATGGTAGTTCGGAACATAAATATATTATGTAATTTAACTTAACAATCACCTGAAGATTATATTTACAATCAATCAATCTAAACAATATCGTAAATAACATGGTTTAAAATTTTAACATTCATAAAACATCCTTTAAACTTTCCAACTCCATTTAGTCCGTATCCAAAAGAATGCATTGGTTCGAATTTCAATCTGAAACATTTTAAGTTACTTATAGAACGACACTATATAAAATGTTTCTACCACCGTATAAAATTAAATACCCATATTTAATAACTTTGAAGGTTATTTCAAATGTTGCTTACTCAGTATATACTTTATACAATGCATCTCACGGACTCGTAATCCTGAAGACGAAAGTTAAGAAAAATTCGCTTCGCTGTATTTTTAAATTTTGTATCTCTTCGGTTCATACCATTTTTAAGGGTACTACCATAAACTACTATTTGATAAAAAAACATGCAAGGTATATGAAAAGAATCAGACCCTTATACAAAATCTATACTGTGGCAAATACATAGCATAGATAATATACAATAGCCAAGTTAGTCAGGTAATTCAAACTATGCGGCTGACCGCGACGTCGAACTATGCCGACATTCCAATAGTTTACCGACTAGTTTGCCACTATCGTCTTCCCTTTCTAATTAATTCAGTTTTAATTATGCTCTGGAGTTTAGTTTCTTACAAGGTAATAACGTGAATACTTGCTTTCCGTTGTCTCGATATTTAAGTACAAAGATTTTTTAACGCGTGGTGACTGCTTTAACCAACACTCTAACTTGTCATTTTTTTATTTGATATTTTTTAATAGAGGTTTCCTGCTCTGGATCTGATCTAATAACACAATACAAATAATTTTTTGAAGTGAAAAGTTCTTTAGGCGCGTTGGGCATTTTGAACAACAAACAAAAGAATGTTTTTATGGTTTAACAAAAAACACATTTTTTGGGATGGGAAAAACCACTAAACTCGCGACACTGTTACCTTTACCATTACCGACACCTCTGAATATAAGTATCTACATAATATTGGCCCCGTTTACACGAGACGACTTTGGCTGGAAATACATTGACAATCTATAATATAATCATAATAATATATTGTGTAGATGTATATTCATGTCGGAACTTTCGAATCGAAAAAACAAAACTATTATAATAAAAAAATAAAGTTTTCGAAATTAGATTTTTTTTTTGAAAGGCAAATGCATGATAAAACATTTAAAGTCTGTGACCTAAGTCTGTCTGAATTCGTAAAACCTAACTTCGCTTGCTATTAATATTTATACTTACGCGTATTTTGGATTTAGAGTAAAGTTCTAAAAATACTAATAACTTCACTAAAAAGTGACACATACTAAGTACTGCAATCCCGCATAAACCCGTTAAAGTTTATCAGCCCCTCATTCTCAGCACAAACAACAAATTAACACTTCACAAATTAACACCAAAACGCGATGTCGTTATCGAACGCTCATTATTACCCTGGGGCTTCAACGACCGAAGTTAACTTCTTAACTTTGAAAACGATCGTTTTGAAGCTATTATATTGAAATATTTCAACATAAATGCGTTTAATATTAATGGGGACTTTATTATGACAATTGCTGCTATTTTGGGTTTTAAAATGAAAAAGAAAAGAATTTCTAATCCATGTTATTTTTGTGGTATGATACTAGCGGATGTATTCAGCCAGTAAAAACTAAATGTAAAACATAAAACTTTGATCTATAACTTTTTTCATGTAAATATATTAGGCAGTAAAGTATATTTATACTTATTATTTACATGTAAGTAGGTTTCAATGTATTAAAAGCATTTTATTTTGGGAAAAAAGAGAAATGATTGCTTACCACAATGGCGTTTAGTAAAATGAAATCATTTGAAATTATCATATGACCTAATGATTTGAATAAAGTTTTAATTATTGAATTATTCAATGATCAATTTATTATAAAGCAGAGATTTACAAAATAAAGAAAAATAGTTGTTGCAGACCTTAAGACTTTAAATATATCTAAGGTACTGATAAAAAATTCGTAATAGTTACGATACGACCTCAAACTTTAGGGCTAGTGATTATATTAGTTAACAAATTAGAACGTAAACACAACTCAATCGAGCCCTCATTATTAGTCCCCAGGGTCTAAACTACCCAAGTTTAACCCTCTTAAGCATTGTTTGAATAACATCGTGGTAACACACTGATATTGAAATATATTGTTCCCTTATAAACTCAAACGGATCAATGATAACGGAGATTATTTGCAAAAGGCTTAATGATTCTAAAATTGCATCTTGAACGCAGATCGATCTTTGTTTATTTACGTCAGTTGCGAAAACCAACAACTACAAAATGATAATGGGCAGTTTGATATACAATATCAAGCCAATTACTGGTTTTAACGAATTTCTTCATTATAAACTAACAGAGGATTTGGAACAATAACCAACACGACACTACACCTATACAAATACGATAAATAATAATGGATCGAAGATACTTTATGATTGAGAAAAATTAAGGTTTAACATACTGCGCACAACATTACTTTTGTCACTAAATCCATGTAGTACCAAAATATGTGCAAAGAGTACTGTTTTGACCCATATTTGCACAATTTATGGTAATATTAAAAAACTTTACCAACATATAAAAACTATCATAAATGAAAAAAAAATAAGTCGCTTGTGAGATACAATAGAGAAGTCAGACATGGACACCAACACTCCAGTTTTGCCCTCTTTTTAAATTACAGTCTACTACTCTGTCAAGAAAATACCGGAAAAAGATCAATAATACACAAAATGTTTGTTATTCATCCAAATTTATTTTATCACCTTCAAAGTATGCTCCTTCAGAAACGATACACTTACGCCAAAGAATAATCTAATCATCAAAACATTTTTTAAACGCTGTTTCCGGAATTGAGTTCAGTTCTCGCCGCGAATTCCCCTTTATGTCTTCTACCGATTGAAAACGGGTGCCACGAAGTGGTGATTTGAGTTTAGGAAAAAGAAAGTAGTCGGCCGGAGCCATATCTGGTGAAAATGGTGGTTGCTCGATGGTATTTGTTGAGTGTTGTGCGAAGACGCATTATCGTGGTGTAATCCAAGAATTTTCTTCCCACAAATCTGGCCTTTTTCATCGAATTTACCGCATAGCGCTCAAATAATATTATTTATTTATCGTTTGACTTTCCGGCAAGAATTCCGAGTGCACAACACCGCGATAATCAAAGAAAACAGTCAACATTACTTTGACTTTTGATTGACTTTGGCGTGGTTTTTTCGGTTTCGGTTCAGTTGGAAGGCGCCACTCCAAAGCTTGTTGACTAGTTTGCATGTCAAACTACGTCTCGTCCCCAGTAACAATGCGTTTCATGAATGTTGAGTCGGAATTGACTCGTTCAAGCATGTTATCAGCGACACTCATGCGATTGAGTCTTTGGAGAAAATTCAGGTCTTTTGGGACTAGCCGAGCGTTAACATGTTTCATACCCCGATCATTAGTTAAAATGGTACGGATCGACTCGTGAGATACAGAAAGTTCCACGGCTATCTCTCTCAAAGTTGAATGAGGATATTCAGTCACCATTTCCTTCACTTTCGCGATGTTAACTACAGTTGCAGACGTTGATGGCCTTCCAGAGCGAGGCAAATCTTTCATCACATTTCGACCGCTTTTGAACGCTTTTTACCACTCATAAGCATGTGTTTTTGATAAACTCGATTCACCGTAAGCCTTCTGTAACATTTTCAGTGACTCCGAACACGAAAATCCATTGGCGATGCAAAATTTAAGACAAACTCTTTGTTCGATGTTTTTGTCCATTATGCAATTCGCAATACACACTGGATATGATATAACTAAAAACAGCACTGTATTTAATATAAATAACAGATGCAACTCAAACTCCGCGCCAAAATGGAAAACAGTTGTGCTAATCTAACAACAACAAAAAAAAACAAAAAAAAAATTTGGAACCGTAAATAAATCATCCATTCCCTATTAACTTCTTTATACAAACATGAGTTTCAAACATGAATCAAGAAAATAAATGACTATACTGTGTTTTAGAAGTAAAGTGAAACATAAGTCATGCTAATTTAACCCAAATATTACAAGCAAATGTTATAAACTTATATAATCACCTTTTTTTTTTTTTTTTTTTTTTTTCCGTGCGGAAATCCCCTCGGATACCACCTATCGGTGGCATGTCGGACTCGAACCGACTAAAACCGCACGCCTTCGCCGGGTACTAATAGCCGGGGAACCAGGTATACCCTAGAAAGGAAGGCCCTGGTGCCCCGACATACCTCGGGTCATCTACAGACGAGTAGACGACCCCCGCCCCGTGTGGGAACCCCATGTTCCCTGTGCTCCCTGGAAGCGAGCGCGCTTCGCAACGCGCTCGCCGCCACCCCGGCCTGCTTCTGCTAGGGTGACAGATATATAATCACCCTAAAATTGGCTTTCATAATGATATCTCAGCAAGTTTTACTTATTCAAACACAGATCCAGTTGTACGGTTTCAACAAGGAGCTCTACCACAACATGTCTGAAGCTCAGCACAAATCTCAAGGCATCGTTGGTATCTCCCTGATGGTGCAGGTAACACACTAGTTATGAATTTATTTTTAATTTTTGTTAACATCTAAACCTAATTTTAAATTTAAAAGTAAATATATACCGAATTAATATCTTTTCAATATTGTCCTATCTGTTTGGGGATGCAGTTTATCTCCACTTGCTACGAGATCCGAAAATGTGTGCCTTATCTAAAATTGTACTTTTAATTAAATCTACCACACGTCGATCTATGCAACGCTCCTATTAACACTGCGGCGATCTTCGCTGAGAGCAGGCTTTACACTTCTGGGTTGAAGCTCCAATGCATAGTCAATTATTTGAACTATCTGCTTGGCTCCATTAAACTATACATAAAATGATGAGTCACTTGATTTTCATTAACTTTTTAATATATGTTGTAACTTAGGTTGGGGAGCCGACCAGCACTGACTTCAGGTTAATCACTACAGCCTTCAACAAAGTCACTTATCGGGGTAAGTGTTAAACTTTTGTCATAGGGACGATTCATTTTTACCGACACTAAGTATATATTTTTTATCTCTACAGGGGCGTCATACCCAATCAAGCATTTACCACTAAGTTCTTTATTGCCGAATACACAGCAGTATCTCACGTACGAAGGATCTACAACACATCCTGGTTGCTGGGAGACTGCCGTTTGGATCATTTTCAATAAGCCTATCTATATTTCTAAACAAGAGGTATGTTTTATATTTACATATATTAACAATGTAAGACACGACATAAGAACTAATCGGCCTTAAGGTCAGTGAGGAATAGGTAAAATGAATGGTTATTAGTTTGCCTTAGTGGGATAGTGAGAGAGTTAAACAGATAAGTCTCCACTATTAAAAGTCGTGATAGTTTTCGGGGTCTGAATTTCTATTAAGCTAATTGTATGAATAGCAGCTGTATGCAGCAGACGACCTTAATATTTGGGCAGCATAGATTTATGTGTGTTTCTTCATTTCTCAATTACGATAAAGGTATTGTTCGTTATTTTTAAATTAAGGTATAGAAGCGGCTTGTAGGATTAGTGTATTGATATCAGACGGGCGATCAGTGTGCTAAAGTAAATATAATGCAAATCTTCATGAACCGTGATTAAAACTTTATTAAAAATCAACGTTATCGATAAGTGTAACGATTTACAAAGGGTCACTGTTTTTTATAGTGGCGTTATCATTGTCACCTATTTCCATCAAGTTTATTTAAACTAGATTAGGTTACGAACTTATGAATACAGTAAATCATTTTTCAATCAGATGTACGCGCTCCGGCAGTTAATGCAGGGGTCTCAACTGACTCCAAAAGCGCCTTTGGGCAATAATGCGAGGCCAGTACAGCATCTCAACCACCGTACCGTCAGGACTAACATCAACTTTAATAAACAAGGACTTCAGGTAGTAATGTTTTAATGTAAAGTTTTTCCGTCGAATAAGTACCTACAAGAAACACTTTAGAAGCTAATAAATGTTTACTCGTGTTTGTAAATAGCAAGAGCTACAAATGATAGTGATGCCGGACAAGGTTTGAACTTGAGTCCCATTATTATTCTGCCGCCACTTAGTTACATAGATAACAGCTCGACTAGTGAGTTATGACGTTGTGAAGTCATAATATGAGAGTTAAACTTCTTGGAATTGATCATTTTAGTTCTACATTGTGTTGCCAGCCTTAAACACGCTGTTTTAATTTGAGTATGACCTATAATAATACTAAGTAGGGTTCACAAAATAGCAAAAAGGAATTTTAGTGTATTGACTCCATCTGATATTTTATACTAGTCAATTCATTTTCTTTTGATAAAATATAAAGTGTTTTAATTTTTTTATTAATTTATTCTTAATTTTTTTAGTAATTTCGTTTCTCTTGCCAAAAATTTTGGAATAGAATCACTGAAAATAGATACAGTATGGTAACAGTATATTTATGCGACCGCCTTGTAGACGACTTAAGCAGAACCAAATTGCATGGCCGGCAATAAATTGCGACAAATCCTTGCCTAAGTCGACGTTTGTCCGATTCAAGGGTGAGAAATAATTTACGTCTGGGCCAGTCACATTTATTTAGTATACTCTTGTGCTACGAGTTTTATTAATAAGAGATAGATACAGGATTGAGTCCCCTATTTCTATTGACAGAAGCAGTTTAATGAATCCTCATTTAAAAGATAAATATGGTCACAAAAACCGAAAAATAATATGCGTGTGCAATCTTTTATAAGTTTTTTTCAGGCTTATCGTTGTTGTTGTTGATTGAAGTACTATCTTGTTCAAATGTACTTTCCAATTGAGTTATTCTTAAAGTTAAAGGTCGCAAGGCGGTCGAAATTCGACCGTTATGAATTACCTATTTCATTTTACTCAATCATTCAACTTTCTGTAACTCAACATCCTACTAATCTTTCTAAATTGTTTCAGGGCTCGCACAATTGTCCAGATATGTACCGCAACATGCATTACACAGGTATTTTTTTCAATATCTTAGCTCATACCCAATAAAACAAAACATTTTCCTATGCATCTTGTTATCAGAATGAAATGTAGCATGCCCTTTAATCAAATTATAATATGCACGATTTACAATTAAATATTTCGTATCAAATAATTTAAAAAATTAAAAGTAAGTAATTATGTAATGTATAAAGTATCTGTATAAGTAAAGTAAGTTTTACAATTCTGTCGTAATTTAGGAAACCGATAAAGTAAATGAACCTTGAGTTACTTTAAATTGAAATACATTTTACAACAAATACCACGCCTGCCACGAGTACCAAATTTATTTAATTATTATGATATATAAAATTTTATTCATACTATACTATCAAGTGAACAGTAGCAGGAAACTACTAGTTATTTATATAATCGAATTTAAAATTGATGTGTAAACGTGCAAGCGTACATGCATGCGTATGTAACGATTGCGCGATATTTACCTCAATACAAAAAAACTTTAACAGACAAATAAGTAAGAGAGTCCCTAGTAATAGGAACAAATTTTAAAGAAAATATGATATGAAATATTTACAAAGCAAAATAATTATTCTAGATAATAACGAATACCTGCCCTATTTCTTCATGTAATTTCAGCACGGTACCGCGGCAGAAAGCGTTCAAAAAAAAGTGTTGCATGCAAACGAAATGATAAACCAAAGAAATGTCACAAAAATAGGTATAGTCTGGCACTTCCTATCCATTTTATGTGATGCTTAAATAAAGCAGCTTACACAATGTTGCAGCAAATTCAAAATTGAACCCAACTCTGTAGTGGTAGTAATAGTAGTAGAAACCACCTTATGTCCTTTTGCAAGTCGTGTTTGTTCCAGGACTTTTCATTTGCTTGTAAAATGCCGATATTATGCATAAACAGAATGTATTTATTTGTTTTTTATTGTTTATATTCCATCGTTCCATGTGATCTTTCTATGTCCTTCCATTACTTACACCGTTATAGTAGATAGTATTGCTTCCCTACTGGACGGTCGTTGTATAATGTGCATTAGCGTGTGTGTTTACAGTTGTTTTATTTGTGTTGTAGTATAATATATTTTGTGTCGAGTATTTTAACCTAACTTTAAATGCTTACGTTTTTAACGATACATTAGTACAATTAAATTTAAAAAAATCGCCATAAAAGTATAGCAATGAAAAAAAAAAGGTATTTGGTTAAGGTAAGGAGTGCATGATGTGTAAATAAATAAATAATAAAATGTCACAGTGATGGCGAATATGCAACACTATTTCAAGAGTTTGCTGGGAGAAGGCAGCGGGAACGCGTCGCGCGAGCGAACGCGGCACAAAGTTATTTAGATAAATGAAACATCTTCTCTCCTCTCCGCTTGATCCATTGCCACCGTCGCTAATCGGAGAGGAGAACGAAATCTGATTGGTTTATTCAAAATACTTCTCCTATCGTCTTCTCTCCTTTCTACTTTAGTGGATACCGAGCCTTAGAAGCAGCCATAAACACAAGGCAAGCTGCGGGAACCTGCTATTATTTAATAGTTTTTAATATTAAACTTCACACATGGCATTGTCCCTTGGTTTCATTTATTACAGTTAGTAATTAAATGTATTGTTACTTAGCATTTCTTTTTACGGGTATATCCTAATCATCTCAATATTCTAATATTGTTTTCTATTTACAGCCACCCAATGGCCGAAGGAGCACACCTTGCGGTACAGAAGCGTTGATGACATGGGACTCTCACAAAATTAATGAAATTATTTTTCCTATAACCACAGTTAATCGATATTATAAAATTTAAATTTGAGAAGCGCTGGTTTCACTGGATGATTGATTTACGTCTAAATATATAGTCTGCTTGAGACCACTAGTTTATTTTTTCAATAGCTTATGTAATTAGAAATTGGTGACTATTGAATTATACTGAAAGAAATTTAAAAGTTTGAATAGTTAGGTTTAAAAAATACATGCGAAATAACTTACGACTTATACTTTAGATCAGCTGCGTTGTTAAATGAATAATATCTATATTAAGCATTAATTGTTAGGAAAACAGCTAACCCAAATAACATACGAACATGTAATTAAATCCAAAATTTAGTATAAAATGTCTATTGATGTATCTATTTGTAAATATAAATATGTAATCAATGTAAGTTATTATAAACATGAATAGTAATAATAAATGTGCTTACCAAAATAATACCGGATTTGGTCTATGCTAGTTATCAAGCTCATATTTGCCGACATTGCACTCGTGATTCTAGGTAGTCATCCATCAGGTGACTATCAGGAACCAGCTTGCTCGTCAACCCATATGACAAAAATTAACGTAAAAAGAGTAGAGACGTAAAAGTAGAGAAATAAAAAGTATTTGCAATATCTTGAGCAAAGCATGGTTGCCGACCTTAACTAGAAGTAGTTGTTGTCTGGTATAGGCTCTAAGTATAAATTAACTAGCAAGTGTACTATGTCGTTCATATAATGCCGTACAAAAAAAATCGAATCCACATGAACCACCGTAAATTTTACTAATCAAGTTACTGGATACATAACGTTATTAGGTACTAGAGGTTAGGTAAAACTCACAGAGCAAATCATAGATACTAAAAACTGTTGAACATTCGGAGTACCAGTAACTATGAGCGAGCCAGACTTCTTACATCTCGAAACGTTGATAACACCTCATTTCACAAATTGAATGTTATAACTATTGTATTTAGGTATATATTAAATTGCACAATATATCCTCAAAACTATTTTTAAAAGATGTTTTTTTTTACCTATGCGTAAAGGTATAATATTTATAAGAACATTGGAGAATATACAGTTCTCCAACGTTCTTATAAATGTTAGATGAAAATAAATAAACTATACAAAATAAAATGAAGCGAAACCGTACCTTAAAGTTACTTAGAAATTAAAAAAAAAAAAAGTACTGTATTCATGCAAGAAAAATACATAGAAAGTAGTAGATACCCTTGCCACTAGTATTGGATGTAATGATCGTTTCTATGTATTCCATTTCTTATATTTTGGGATTAAAATGTTTATTATGAATATAGCCGTGAATAGAGTCGAATTATTACATAAATTAAGATACATATTAGTTATAATAAAATAATTATAAATCGTCAATTGTGTAGACAATATTTTCCATATTACATACTGTTAAATTATAAGTAACATAATAATTTGAAACAAAGCTTCTAATATCCTATCTTGGCTAATCTTAGACTATACAGGTTTCGCGTAGAAGTATATAAATGTATATAGAATGTATATACAATATTCGTTTTTTAACAGATAATTAAAAACAGTATCATAATTCGTCCACACTGTAAAGTGTACTTTATGGCAAAATACACGATAATAAGGCTTTTATACATATTAAGAAACAAAACACGTAATATACTTATATAAAAAGTTTTCTAAAAATTAGTACATATATATTAGAAAGTAATACATAGTAATTGTGAGTGGAATATAATTTATATTAAATTAAATATATTCCACGATTATTTTAGCTTAAAGATGGCTTAGAATTTTTTAATCAAGTTATTCGTTACGCTTCAAAAATATGTTAATATAAAGTTAAAATGCTTATGAATAGATTGATATATTCGTATAATATAGAAGTTAGATATAGATTAACCATTTGGCAATTAAAATCTATTTATGTCAAAACTCCGGGACAAAGCAAAATAAGCTAAAATATTGAACATTTTATTTTACATAATGTATAAAGAGTTATATGAATACATAAGTAACTGTAATGTACCTACGGAATTTAATGTAGTAGTTTAGATGCCTGTGTTGTCTGTATGAGTTAAATAATAAAGTGGTTATGAAAAATTCATAGTTTTATTTAAAATTCAAGACATAATCCAAGTTTAGCTGATCTCTGGTATTAAATTTAATAATAATGATAGTTTAGTAAAACGATAATGTTAAACCTCCACCCTTTATTTTAGTGTGACTTCCAAGGTGCTAAATTGAAGCTACACTACTGCGAGTACAAACTACAAACATACAAAGTTCAAACACTAACAAGTAAGTAGAGAGATTGAAATGAAGTCGCAAGACTTATTTACACAGTTAAATAGTGAATAAGTCACTTAATCAGTCAATTACAAAAATCGTGGTCATTTTCTAACACCATTGTAACAGTGTTTTCTGCAAAATAAGTAATTTGAATATAAATAAAGCCTAAAACTAGCCCCGACACACAACGCTGGCTCTAATTTTAATAGCCTTAAACCAGTTAGGTGTCCTCGTTTGCTATATAGTGTCATATTGCCGCCATTACAAAATCATATAACAATCGTATGACTTCATATATTTTGGTATAATCTGTACTAGTCACTGACTTTCTCTCTCTCTCTCTCTTTCTCTGCTCTTTTCTTTTTTAACTACACGTAACTACATATATAGGTTCAAATATATACCAGAAACACTTCTTTATAATGTAAATATTTTATACTTATGTATTATATATGTATATATATTGACATTCGTCATTTGTCCGTCTTTAGTGCAGGTTGTCCCAAATACCCCCAAAAATGTCTAAGTGCGATAATTGCAACAAAAATATTTCTAAAACTACACCAGGCCTAGAGTGCAGTAAGTGTGAAAAAATAGTACACCTGAGCACAAAATGCACGGGCTTAACGAACAAACAGATAGCAGCCCTAAAAGCTGCAACAAGTTTGGAGTGGACATGCCCCGACTGCCAACAAGAAACACCCCGGCGGACGTCCTCAATAATAGTTCCAGAAGAGGAGGAGGAAGACGAAGCCGTCCAAATCAATGCTAAGAAGTTGCTTAGCAATATAACCAAAGAAGTGGAAAGGGCAATCAAGAGAGAAATGGCCCAGTTGAATGACTCATTGCAATTTCACAGTGCCAAGCTCGATGAAGTAATGGAGTGTATGGATGCTTTTAAGAAAACAGTCAAAGCCCTTGAACGAAAGAACATAGAACTGACCAATAAGAACAACCACTTAGAAATTCGAGTCGGTGCCTTGGAACAGCGTCTACAAGACTTAGAGCAAGAAAAACTCTCAAAATATGTAGAAATTGCAAATGTTCCTAACCAAAGCAATGAAGAGATTCAAGCCGTTGTGGAAAATATCGCTCGAAAATTGAACCAACCAAAAGAGGTGATTAAAAGTACAAGCCGAGGGTATACAAAAAAGGATCAACCCGTTAATATACTTGTGGAACTAGAGAATGAACAGGTGCAAAAAACCTGGATCGCTGCTTCTAAATCGTTTAAAATGACTGTAGGTGACATCCATCCTACAGAAAATATTAATAAAAATACAGTATATATTAGAGAAGCCATGACTAAATTCAACAAACAACTATTCTGGAATGCAAAACAGGAGCTTAAAATCAACCAGAGCTTCAAATATGTATGGTTCAAAAGAGGAGTCGTTAGGGCCCGAAAGGAAGATAGTGATAAACCTATTATTGTAAAGTCGTTAGAACAATTACGCTCCCTATCGTCAAACCTGTAAGTTTTCATTGAATTGTTTGCAATTGTTACACAATACACTTTCATTTCTTATGGACAACTGCTTTAATGAGATTACTGAGATCACAGATTGTGTGAATGTAAACGACTTTCTTAACTATTTACCTAATAACACCAACAGTATCAATCTATTATGCATTCATATTAACATTCGATCCCTAATTAAAAACTTCTCAGCTCTCGAACAATGTATACAGGAGTCCAAGATACTCATTGATGTCATAATTATAACTGAAGCTAATGTATCTGAAAGCATTAGCAGTCTCTTTCAAATCGAAGGCTACCGTATGTACGCGGCCCTACGAAACGAACGTCGGGGTGGTGGTATTATCTTATATATAAATAACAAACATAAGTGTAGCATCAAAAGTATAAAAACTATTCACTTCGAATGTTTATTATGTACTATTACCACCCACTCCAACTATTCCGCGGGTTTGTGTGCAATATACCGTCCCCCGAGAACTAGCAAAAACCTCTTCATCAATGAACTACACACTACACTTAATCACTTTCCTAGGTTGAGCGACTTGTATGTGATAGGAGACACTAACATAGACATAAAATCGCATAATCCTGTAATACATAAATACAAAAACATGTTAAGTGGCGTCGGGCTTCTGTGCGGGATCACTGAATACACTAGAATCGAAATAAGTAACGGATTACTAAGTAAATCATGTATTGACCACATTTTTGCTAGATCCCGCGCACAAGACCTGTATACCGCAGCGCTTGGGACGACACTGGCTGATCATCGTGCCGTTGTTCTTGCCTGCGCTGGCTCACAGATACAGGATGCCCCAAAATATAAAACTTGCATAAATAACAAAAAGTTATTTGACTTATTGGAAAAAGTATCTTGGGATGACGCACATAATATAAACTGTCCTAATTTATTGTACGATTATATAAACACGCGATTCACTGAGTGCTACGAACAGTCAAATTATAAAATCCCATTAAAAAAATCACCTTCTCGCTGTAATCATGACTGGATTAATAAACGAATAATAAAGGCTTGCGAATACAGAGATAAATTATATAAATCATGGATTAAACAACCTTATGATATGAACCTTAAACTAAACTATAATAAAGCAAGAAATTATGCAAATTATTTAATGCGAAAGGCCAAAAACAACAAAATCAAATCTGACATTATTAACAACAAGAACAACACGAAAT